AAAAAAGCAGCAACAACAAAAAAAAACACTCTTACCGAAACGGTCCTACCCGAAATTGATCACGGGCGTGCAGCGCCGTGATGAAATCTGTGGTTGCAAGAAACTCCGAGACCTGTCTGCCGCAGTTCCACCTCAAAGGAATATTTCGAACTCATTAAGCCCTCGAGGGTCATGGTGTTGACGCGCCCGTTAAGCGAAGACAAAAAAGAGCCCGATGAGGCCCAAGGCCGGGGTTTTTTGTGGCCCAACCCATGAGACACCGCCGCGCGGGGGCGGGGGGTGCCGCCATCATTCCTGCGAAGCATCGAGACAGAAACCCCTGTTCTCGTCCCGGACCAGATCCCAGATCCGAACGGCTGACTCTGGCAAGTTGTCAGCGATGCCAATAAGTTTCATAGCCGAGCCACCACCCGTACCGGTCCGGAAAGATGCTAGCAAGACTCAGCATGCTAAATGTGCCATGATGAATGATGCGCCTTCTGCTTCCTAGCCTTGTAGGTGGCTTCCGTCAATTAGTGTTTGTGTGGGGTGTCATCAAGGCCATCCATCCACGGAAATCTAGGCCCTGCAAGACGAAGCGGCCCACGAGTGCCAGCGAGCTCGTTGGGGCAAGTCCCTTGCAACGCAGCCGTGGCCTGTGCGGCATATGGGGACAGAAGTCGGGAACATCATCAAAACGACGCATGGCTGCTGCCATAGCCACAGACAAAAGCGCTCCTTTCAGGCGGAGAAAATTTTGGTGCGTCCGACCGAGAATGACTAGCCTCAAAGTCTCCAAAACGACGAGAAGCATGGGTCCGGTGTTTGTTTTGTGATACGCGCAGGGGCTACCCAAGCGTGAGGCAGACGATTCACACAACTCGACCGCCCTGCCTTCGAGCCTGCCAAAACTGACCACTTGCGGTGACTTCAGCAGCTTCATGTCCGGGGTCGAACGTTTTGATCTTGTCTGGCACTGTGAGTGAAATTTAGAGCAGTTTTACGTTTGCAGGCATCCGGAGTTCAGCTGGCCAATGCTCTGCGTGCCAACTCGTCGCTCAAGACGCTGAACCTTGAGTGCGCCATCTCAGCTTGCACTTTGTTCCACATGGCCACAAGTGTCAGCATGCCAGGAGCAACTGGCTTGACTCCAATGCAGTCCGCGAGCTTGCTTTAGCCATCAAGGCGCATGCACGGGGCGAGACTGAGGTTTCAGGCTTCAGCTGAAAGCTGCAAGTGTTGTAATCAGGACAATCTCAGCAGCAAGATTGAATGCTTGCGCTTCTCTCATCAGAAGCAGATGGGACAGTTCTTCGGAAGGCACGGACTGAACTTGCTTTCTAAAGCTTGCACGCTTGTTTTCTTCGGCGTGACAACCTGTAGGGCTTGGGGGAGCACGGATACCTCATGCTCTTGCTTGTCGGCGGGTGGGGTTCTCCAAAGTAAGTCTTGCTCCAGGTCCCGCTCCCCAGCCTTTGCCGGCAAGTCTATATGACTAAGACTTCCAGCAAAAGACTTCTCCTTTCGAGGGTCTAGTCCGGCTCTACAAATTGAATCGCGGCCGCTGCCTGACAGGCCGACGGAGGAAGCCGTGGGGCAAATGATGCAGAGTAACGACACCATCGTTTTGTCCTCTGCGCTTTCTGAGACTGTTCCACCAAATTCAGCGCACGACGTACTGCTACATTTTGACAGGTGAAGCTTGGCTTTGAATGTGATGATGCGCACGGGCCTTGCAAGCAATTTTGCAAAACAGTTCTGAAACGACAGAAATGTAGCTCGCAAAATAAAGTAGCTTACAGGTTCAATTGCCGCAGCAGCACGTGTGCCATACGCACCCCAGAAACACTCCAATTCCCAGGCATTGGCGGAATGAGATTGATCGGGCGCTGCTGCGAAACAACGACTCATGGAGACGGGGCCTTTCGTTGCGGAAGTTTCGCCATCGCCATGCAGTATGCACATCCATAGGGATTTGGAGTTGACATGAGTTGACATCTCCCTGGTTTTGCCGCGTCTTTCAGCAATGCTTAGGAAGACGGCAAGCTCCTCCTGACGGAGAGGCGGCACTCGAACTTAGATGGTCGAGACATTCGCTTTCTGGGTCTTGTCTGGATGCAGGCCTTGCCAACAGCAGAGGAACGTTCTCTAGGTGTCTTGGGGCCGAGGAGGTGGGGCAGAATTCTGAATGCCCAAACGAACGATGTGGTCAGGGCGGATACATCTAGTGCACCCGCCAGATGCTTCAGCCAATGAGGCACGCTTGCCTGTCTGCTTGGGACGCGTTAGACGATTGCATGTGATTCAGGTATTGAACAGCTATGGCACATTGTGCGACTACCTGGAGTGACACATGTGGACAAAGTCAGGCCTAAATGTGTTGCAGCCGTTGATTTGTCAGGACCATAACAAAAAGCTCCCCACAACCTCGCAGCTTCAGAACAGCACACGCAACAGTGGCTACAGCCTTGTGACCATTCAGTATCGAAAAGGTGGATAGTCCTGGTCCAGCCCCCCATCGAGCAATCGAGGTCAGCAGATCACGTATGCAAAAGCTGCTCCAATGATCAAGGACACAAGGGCCATGACCGATCGCATGTGCAAACATGAGCAATGCTGCTTGGTGCAGTAAACGCCAGGAGCTTCGATCGTGGATGCTTGATCATTCTCTGAACAAGTTGGTGCGCGCTGCAGGGTTGGCTCACGTTGGCTCCCTGCATTCCTTGAACTCTGAGGGTTCACCGCCCGGTGTGTGCCAGCATGCATGGCTTCCGGTAGAGGTGGAAGTCCTCGACACCTTCGAAACTCCGACATGCGGAATCCTGCGACAATGGAGTTCGTGCCATGATCATTGGATCGTCAAGTTCTCAACACCGTCGGTCTGCAGCAAGCCGTCGCGCAGCCATAGCCACAAGATTCTGAAGTCTGTTTCTGCGAGGTTGAGGTTTGGGTGGAGGATAGGAGGCGTGGTCGGCTGCTGTGCTTCGACCGCTTCCAAGATTCTTCATTCAAGACACGATGCCCGGTGAGTCACTCGTTTGAGAGCCTGACGTTCCACCGCCGCCCCTTGCAACGACATTTCTGGTGTTCTAAGCGTGTCAGCATCAATCAAGCGGACCTTGCACGACTTGTCGATTGACAGACTCGTCAGATTGACCAGTTTCAGCGGCTATATAAACCAGCATACAATGCATGTTATGTCCGCTGTCCTGCTGAGCGTAGTTCGTGTGATGTTTTGTTTTTTCAGATTCCGTTGCAGGAAAGAGTGATGTGAACATTATATGCG